CGCTTTGGTCCAGCAGTGTTAACGTTATGTTCTGTCTGAAAGGCCACGATAAGAGCGAGTCGAAGTCTCCGCGCATTATCGTGATGTAGAGCGACAGGTGAGTGCCTCTCCCTGAGCTGTCCCCGCCGAGGTAAGCCCGCACACTGAGCTTGTAGCCACTACGACTGGTGTAGAAGGGGGTCGAGTTGAGCGGGGTGCCGGCCTCTTTCCGGTGGCAGTAGTCACGCACTTTCCAGATGAGCTTACCGTCGTAGGAAGTGGATACGAGCTGGTGGAAACGCTGCTCATTACACTGCAGCTGCTCCACGTGGATGTCTAACAAGCGGGTATGACGCTGACACGTCTGCTCTAACGCACCTGAGGGACACAAACACACACAGTTCTATTGTTACAGTTCTACAGAGACCAGAAACAAACTCTAGTGTACTCATCTTCTTCTTCCAAACCTGTATAGGCCACGACACACTATGCCAGGGGTCTCCAAGCTCGGTCTTGGAGGGCCACTGTCTGCAGAGTTGAACTCCACCTTGCCTCAACACACCTGCTTGTAAGTTTCTAGTATGCCTAGTATGCCATGATTAGCTGGTTCAGGAGTGTTTAATTAGGGTTGGAGCTGAACTCTTCAGGACAGTGGCCCTCTCCAGGAGTGAATCGCTGCCTCAGTGTGGCCTCGGCAGAAGTGCACATCGAGGGCACACAGCGGCCACAAAGGGGGTGTTTGTGAACACCCTTCTGAAAGCTAAAATGACGAATGGGACACCCTACTGTCTTGTGGACTTAACGGACATGCACACACAGTGGCCATTGTAAGTCCGCAAAACCACAGCATGGTAGCCCAGGCACGCATGGATAGTAATACATGCGGTTCACATGGCTCTTTGGGGCAGCAGCGGTACATATGACTCGGTGATAGATCTGCTTGTTTGGGAGGTATTTGTTCTATTCTGACCTGTTTTCATGTGTGTGGATACATGCATGTCCGCTGATGCAGTAGCTTGTATTCTTGCACTCAGCGATAGGGCTGTGAATTTTTTTTTCGAATTTCGAATATTTGGCAAATAACATAAAAAAAATCCACATTCGAATGCAAAAACGTTGCATTCAAATTTAAGGTCTGCGTCAGTCGTCAGGCAGCCTTATCAGTGGGGCACGAGGTGCGATGACGATGTATGTGTCATTGATTGCATTTTAATGCTTTTGTTAGCTTGTCCAGTTGAACCCACTAGATGCGGCGCTGCTACGTTGTTCATTCAATATATTGTGGAAAACGAGAGCATCAGTGTGGAGAAGATGTTGTTTACGTCAAAACTGAAACCAAGCCGCAGACACAGAACGCATATTTATCACATTTTCTAGAGGGACATCTATCACCGTTGCACTCGTGTCTCGCAGAGAGCGGCATGTTTAGAAAGCCATGTAAAATTAATGCAAGTTCAACTTTTAAAAAACATGTCTAAAGACGTTATGGCGGTTTTTCCCCATCCCACTGTATCTCATGTTTTTAAACGAAGAAAGTACCATTTGTGATTGGTTTTCGGTCCTTTGTATTAAACTATACATACATTTTTTTTTCTAGGTGTATGTGACGAATGTCTTGTAGTCCATAAGCTCATACGAGGTGAAAGTGGAGACAGTATCCAGAAAGAGCTCCGCTGCCTGCTTGAAATCCCGAATGGCCACGCAGTAGAGGCCCTGATACACCTTCAGGCGATTCCTCCGGTCCCAGTCACCACCTTCTTCAATCAAACTGTTCATACATGCAGAGTTCAAGTGTCAGGCCAACATTTCAGGGTGAGATGCATTTAAGTAAGTCTGCACTCTATACTGTACCTTTTGGCTTTCTCAGTGTTGCGGGTGATGAGGTCATTGTCCATATAAAACAGACCAATCCTCAGCAAGTAAAAAACAATATCTAAGCGATGACCAAGAGCAACAGTCTTGTCATACGTCTTCCTGAAGGCAGTCAAGGCCCCTTCCTAAATGAAAGACAGAAAAATATTATCAGTGTGGAAAAAAGGATGAAATATACATGTTAGAAGCTGAACAGATAAAAAGCAAAAAAATCCAATATATAGATGTAACATATGTAGAATGTAACCAAACTATATCACCATTCAAAAGTTTGAAATCAGTAAGATTTTTTTGGTGTTTAAAGAAATTGACACTTTCACTCAGGATGCATTAAATTAATCGAAAGTGACATTAAAAGCATTAATCGTTTTACAAAAGATTTCTTTCAAAAAATTATGTTCTTTTGAACTTTCTATCAAAGAATACTGGAAAAAATCCTGTATCACAGTTTCCACAAAAATATTAAACATTATAAATATTAACTGTTTACATCATTATTAATAATAATAATAATAAAGCAGCAAATCAGCATATTAGAATAATTTCTGCAGGATCATGTGACACTGACAAATGGAGTAATGACTGCTGAAAATTCAGCTTTGCCATCACAGGAATAAAATTGACTTCAAAATATATTAAAATAGATAATGGTTATTTTCAAATGTAAAAACATTTCACAATATTACAGTTTTATTGTAATTTTACAGTGACACATAAATGCAGTCTTTGTGAGCATAAGAGAATTCTTTCAAAAAATTTTTTTTAATCAACACATCATTTATTATTTAGCATGACTGAGCATGTACTGTTTGAATCTGCACCTTGTCACCGATGCGTATGAGATATTCAGCTTTGGCCATCATGGCATCTCTGATCTCACTCTCTCCCTGGTTCTTCTCAGCATCTTCCAAAACATCATCCAGCCTTTTCAGTTCATCCTCATTTGCTTTCTTCATCTTACTCAACAGATCCGTGTCCACCTGCCATTTCAGCTCTTTACACAGGGCTTCATAGTACGGGGCCATATCTACAAAACACAATCATGACATGCACATTTGAGGTGCTTCACTTAAATAATAAACTGAATTCTAAGTATGCAAGGAAGTACATCCAAAATATTTCTATATGAGAGAAACAGTGATCTAGGTAATGACATGTACATACATGATGGATGAGTGATTACACAACTCCATTGTAGGCACATGCTTGTTGGGGCAAGTTGTCCCATAAGTTATAAATACATACAATAATAGTGTTTGTTGACCAATATAATGATTTAATAGCAGGTCCCATTGTGACTACTTACCCCACATAGTGTGACTATATACTGCTATTGAAGATTATTGCCTTCACACATGGCCAACATTGTGCACAAAAATATATTGATTAAAATTAGCCTTTTTTTGTAATCTAGACTCTACGGTTTGTGTCAATAGAGAAAATTACTTTCAAAAACGAACCTAAAAAAAGTGCAAACAGTGTGGCAAGGGGCCCGGTTCACCCTGTGTTATAATACAGAAATTAAGAAAACTAATAATCAGAGGTGGGGGACTCGAGTCACATGACTTTACTCGAGTCGAGTCAGACTTAAGTCGCAAATTTTATGACTCGAGAGTCGAGACTTGCTTGACAAATATTCATAAAAGACTTGACTTTGACTTGAAACTCATGACTTGAGACTTGACTCGGACTTGAGTTAAAGGGGTCATATGATGCTATTTTAAAGATCATTATTTTGTGTATTTGGTGTAACAGAATATGTTGACATGCTTTAATGTTCAAAAACACATTATTTTTCAAATACTGAACATTATTGTAGGTCCTCTATGCCCTGCCTCTCTCAAACACGTCATTTTCAACAAAGCCCCCTCCTTTGACAAGCGCAGTCCGCTCTGATTGGCCAGCTGACCCAGTGCATTCTGATTGGCCGAACACCACAAGCACTCGTCGGAAATGTAACGCCCCTTACCATAATCGCGAGC